GTACACCATGCCTGGTGGGCACTCAGCAGCTGCAGGGGGAGGGGTAACATCACACTGATTAACACACAACCTTTCTTGATACATTTTGATACATTGTATGTTTTCCACACTACAATCTGTAATGCATGCACAAACAGTGGGGTTGTGACGCATAATGGCAGAGTCTTTGGCTTGGAACCAAGAGTTTGAATCCTGTCATCCTACCTACCTTGTGCTCTTTACACAACTTTCCTCACTTAACTCAGGTGAAAATAAAACGAATATTGTCTATTGTCCTCTGTGTTGGTGGTGGCATAGCAATAAGTTGAAAAAACTTGAGTGTGCCGTCACCATGTCTTGTATTAAATGTTAGTATATTTAAAAAAAACAGTGATAACTTTACTACAGTATAGTTTTGTCATTCAAGCTTCAAAGTGCATCCTAACGTTTTTTTTTGTTGTCTAATGGTTTTGTTGGAAGTATTGATATCTGTACTTACGACAGCGCAGTGGCGTCCTCCAGTCCAGAACCACGTTCATGTCGTGCTGGGCGCAGGCGCGGCTGTAGGCAGACAGGGCGTCGCACTCACAGTCAGCCACACCGGCGGCCTGGGCAGGAAATCATGGCTTCATCAGATATCGACACAACAAATCTATCCATAGCTTGAAATGTAACAAATTCCAATTAGCAAGCAGAAAAAAGGTTGAACAACTTTGTGCGTTTATCATCATACAGTAGACAATCAATCCATATTAAAATGTTGTCATCAAACCCATTCCCTGGCTTAGTTTTACTGTATTCTATAGTATCTGTACTTAGAATTTAATGATTTTCGAGATCTAACAGATAGGAAGCATCATAAAGAGAGATGGTAATGACATGTACCTGAGCAGCAAGGTCGGACTGCAGACACTGGCACACGTCAGACATACACAGTCTGTGGAAGATCTCCACATCAATGTACGGGTGGCAGGCAGAGAAGATGTCACTCCTGTGGGGAGATACATGTATGTACAGATACAATCAATAAGACATACAAGGAAGAGACTTTAAACAACAGAACATTCAAGATATACTAGCAGTATCTGGTTGGTATTGACTGCATTCTAGTTCTAGCAATAGCTGATAGGTTGTGAAACAAAAATGGCAGATGAGTATTAGGTTACAGCAAAGATGTTCGATCAAGTGAATAGAACCTCCTTGGTACAGCTAGTGCAGTTCATTGACACTTTCTGACTTGTAGGACTACAACATGTGACCTGTATCTAGTTATATTGTATACTTTGTGTTCCCTCGTGACCTCAATGAAAAGTGGCTAGCAGGCTGATTTCAGTATTTCATGAATGAACACTTCTCAACCAAACAAACAATAAACAAAGAGGTGTTTGTGTGACTGACCTGAGGATGTCACACTTGGCCTGGGCCTCCAGCATCATGTCGACAGGGCAGCTCTGCAGCTCCACGGCCTCGGGACAGGTGTTGTCTCCGGTGGACCAGCTGTCTCCGAAGGCCGTGACGTCACCGGTCAGGGTGCCGGACTGCATCATGAAGTCATCGGTGGGGTCGTGGTTGTTGGGTCCGCACAGACCGCACAGCTGGTTGTGCAGCTCTGGTGTCACGTCGATCTGCAGGAAGGGAAGAGAAGATGAAACAACACTGATCATGTATCAGGATCATCAGGAGGAAATCATCTGTGCCAAGAGGTTTTCAGTAACTACTGATATTGGATAAGATAACATAAAAGCTGAGTTGGAAATACTTGGAAAAAAACTGTTCTTTCGTGCAGTAATACAGTACTGAAAAATTACACATCTTACAATTCTGACTGAAAAGTGCATTGTAATTTCAAGAAAATTTCTAGTCAGACACCTATGTTAAGAGATACATGTATTATATGGGCCTACCTAATATTAAAGTTAACTGTTACTGTAGTCTGTTCACATACCTTGGCCTCATAGCGCTCAGTCCACCTAATGGTGACTCCGATGTTGGTGGTGACGATGATCTCTCCACCGTACTTCTGGATGTGGATGCCGTCGGCAGCAAGAGCCTGGTTGAAGGCATCGATGTTGGTCCAGCTCACGAACCTACAGATAAACACAACAAACAAAATAATATATATATATTAAGTACAATAGAAGTAAACACATTAATGGTTAGCAGAAGTCGACTTAGTATTAGTGCTGGCAGCATCATTGTAGTTGAGAAAATGTCTGAAAATGTTTTGGATACAACAATAAACTCTTGAAAGACATACCTGTCGTTGTACTTGAAGTAGTTCATGCGCTCGAAGAAGAAGGTGTGAGCACCGATCTGTACCTCGATACCGCGGCGGCACAGCAGGCGGTTGTCAACACCAGTGCAGTCCAGAACAGCTGCAGAAAGATCAAAGAATCCATCAGGTGTTAAATTATCGTGAAGTTTCCAATAATGATTGTAAAATTTCCTAGCACAGCAGTGAGATAAGGTTTAGGAGCCTTTACATTCTGAAATTCTGAATGTATCACAAGTACACTCCAACAAACATTGACAAAGGTTACACAACTACACTTTACACTTTAAGATGAGAGTGTTATGAGCTTATACCAGCACATCAAAAGCACTAAGTCATGCACAGTCACGTAATACAAGCCATTCAGATACTGTTATAGAAGGCGAGCGGCCTTACCCATAACCTCGAACAGTCCGCCGGTACAGTCCTTGGCCAGCACGTGGCTGCAGATCGGGTACTCGTACAGGGTGTTGTCGAAGGTCTGGAAGGTCGTGTCCTCGTACATCACGCACTGGTCGTGCTGGACGGGAACGCCCGCGGTGGTCAGACCCACGTCCGCTGGCTTGGTGGTTGTGGCCACGGTAGTTGGCTTAGTGGCAATTGTTGTAGTTGTTGGCTGTTGAAAATGTGTACCATTAGTTTTATTGGAATATTCAATGACTGTCAAGGGAATAAATTGCCTCAAACACAATGTCATGTAGTAGCATAATGGCTTTGTCAAAGCTGGCTTTTCAAACTTTCTTACATTACAGAAAAATAGCCTGAAAATTCCTTGCATCACACAGCTGTATGCTGCATCTATTGAGCCACTTGTACAAGAAATAAGAACAGACAAGAAAGTTGTCATTGCTGTTCATAGGCCAAGTAACCTATTAAACAACTCTGATGTATCTTACCTTGCCGGTGGTCATTGTGACGGTAGGCAGGGTGGACTGAGTAGCAGTTGCCGTGAACATTGGCAGTGTGGTGGTCTCACCAGCGATGAGGGTGGTGAAGGAGGTAGGCTTTGTTGTAACGACGTTGGTCTGGGTGACGACTGCAGTGGTTGGTGCAGTGATGGTAGGCAGAGTGCCAATGATGGTGCTGGTTGCTGTTCCGGTTGGCAGAGTTGCCAGGGTAGTGGTAGGCACTGACGGAAGAACAGACAGTTAACATACAGTTTGGAATGCTGGCATGTTGTCAAATTTGTTTCTTGAATTCACTGGTAACTGTTTGAAGATTATAAAACCATGAAAGAGGAAACCAAAAAGTGGCACATCATATCAAATATCATATCATAACAACTTACGTGGAGTGGTCTCGCACTTGTCCTCATCCTCTCCGTTGGTACAGTGTGGCACGCCATCGCACATCCAGATGAGAGGGATACACTCTCCAGCGGTGCCCTGGTAGCAGTGGAACTCATCCTCGTGGCAGATGTCGTTCACACACTCGCCGCAGCACTGGCCAGCTGGCTTCTGGTAGTACATACCCTGTACATTGGAAGGGATGGGATATTTAGAGTTACTAGGTGTCTCAATGAAGGGAAATAGCATCCTTTTTTCCTTCAGTGTTCAAGCCATTAGCTCTGGGAAAAAGGTAAGGAAAGGATATCTAACAACAGTACCAACAAATTATTATAGGTACGTCCATGCAAAGTATGGATAGCAACATTGTTCATGAATAGAAATGTGTTCATGAATGTTCATGAATAGAAAGGATTTGGTAGTGATTAGGTTTATCATTAATATGAAACCTAAGTCAAATCAAGTCTTACCTGTGGGCAGTCAGCAGAGGACAGGATGGGGCAGGTCTGGGTCATACAGGTGACACCGGAGGCACCTCCACCCAGGCATGTGCAGGTCTGGCAGGTAGCGTCATCGTTCCAGAACTGCATGGGCTGTTCAACAAAATAAACCACGACAGTGTTAAACTATGACATGCTGAAGCAAAATATGTAAAATGATTCAATCTGCAATGGCGACCAAGAGATTTGTTCCTGCAAACATTTATGTTTCCGCTGTTTCTTATACTTTGTCATACATCGGTGAAATTGTTTTGGCCATACCCTATGGATGGATCCGTCAGGCAGCACACATGGGCAGTCCAGAGCCTTGACACAGCTACCCTCGTAGCAGTAGTAGCCCTGCTCACAGCCGGCATCGCCACAGCCCCAGGCGGTAGACAGAGGCATGTCTGGGCATGGCTCCATGTTGGCAGCTGTGGTGGTGACCGCTGCTGTGGTGGTGGTGGTCTGGGCCAGGGTGGTCATCTGGGTGGTGCTAGCCGTGGTCGGAGGCACTGCAGAAAGGGTTTCCCAGCATGTTTTATGGACGCTGTATATATTCTACATACAACTCCATTCTTGATGCAGTCAATCTTTTTAATGATATGTACTGGGCAATATTACTTCATGCGTTGTTCAAAATTTGCCTCTTCACAGACAGCTGCATCATATCCAGAACATACAGATGCACAAATGGAGTTGAAAAGTATCTTGTAATGCCTGCTTTTGGATATACATGTATGTTTCATGTATTCTTATGGCCATTGGGAGTCAGTGTTTCTAATTGCAGAACTCAAATGATCTAACTTTTCATCCATTACTGCATAATCCGATGCCCACATGATATTCAGCACCAAGGACAGACACAACCAAAATCCTACACGCTAAATAAGACATACTCTATCCCTCCAGAATAATCTTCATTCGGTTAAATTTCCATTTTGTAACAAAGAATGCTTACCACAGAGTGGCTCTGTCATGTCCCAGCATCCCAGGGAAACCTCGTAGTCGTAGCAGGAGCCGCTCGGTTGCTCGCTGTCCTGACAGGTCAGACCTGTCCACAGGTTGCAGTTGATGTTGTTCTGCATGCCCATGTTGACAACATCCTGGTATGGCATGCCGAATCCTGCAACCTGGCACCTAGAGGGGACAGGAGAAGAGTAGACCATGTTAAACACTGTATCATGCTAAAATGCATTTTTGACAACATCTCTGGGGTGGAGCCTTTTTGTGGTAGACTGCTCTTGTCAATCACTTTATGCTCGTGGTAGCAAAATTTCACGGTCTGAGAAAAATGGACGTGTTCACAGAACTATATGTTTGTGGAGGGGACAGGTGCAGAGAAAAGAAAGCGAATTTTTGTTCACGGCAATGAACGGCAAAAACTGTGAATATAAAATAAAGTACTGTGAAAAATTGATTTACAGTACATCAAACTGTGTGAAGTTTGAATCCAATCCACTTTTGTAAATTCCTTAAGGTTTCAAGAACTGTAAAAAAAGTTTCATTGCACATTCTATGAGTATTAAGCCATATCATGTAATATACTATACAATGTATACACAAATATCTGTGAAACTCTCAAGACAATATGATGATGATATGGACAAGATAGTTTCCTCACCTGATGTCCACTGGGTTCTTGCAGGTGGATGCAGCAGATACAGCAGAAATGGTCTCGAAGTCTCCACCCTCCACAGGGGTTGGGTAGTTGGTGTTCACATATGGAGCCCAAACAATACAGTCTGGAAATACAGCCAAAACATTTCAATGCTGCTCAGGCAAACTTACAAGGGATATAGATTGTTTCCATGTAAGTTGATACAGCGATTGATACAGGACAACAAGGTCCAGTAAGTATGGCCCGCCTCAGCAGTAGCTGATATGCGGTGGAGCGGTAGGTAGGTAGGTAGTAAGTATTCATTTTTGCAAATTTTGGATACTTAGAATGTTTTCTTAGCAAATCAATCAATCAATCAAACAGACAAACTGAAATGCACAAAGTACAATGTATAGTGATAGATTGTACAGGTATACTTCTTTAAAAGAAAATATGGCTAGTAGGTAGTGCATACCCTCATATGGCAGTGTGCTGACCACGGTAGCAGTAGACTGTGGTGTGCCAAGAGTAGTGGTGTCAGTGATGATAGCTGTCTGGGTAACACCAGCAGTTGTGGTGGCAGTGGTCACTGGCTTGTCAGTGATGATGCCAGCAGTTGTGGTGGCTGTGCCAAGGGTGGTGGTGTCAGTGATGATAGCTGTCTGGGTAACACCAGCAGTTGTGGTGGCAGTTGTCACTGGCTTGTCAGTGATGATGCCAGCAGTTGTGGTGGCTGTGCCAAGGGTGGTGGTGTCAGTGATGATAGCTGTTTGGGTAACACCAGCAGTTGTGGTGGCAGTTGTCACTGGCTTGTCAGTGATGATGGAGGTCTGGGTGGTACCAGCAGTTGGGGCAGTAGCGATGGTGGTGGTCACTGGCTTGTCTGTGACAATGGAGGTCTGGGTGGTACCAGCAGTTGGGGCAGTGGCGATGGTGGTGGTCACTGGCTTGTCGGTGAACACAGATGTCTGGGTAGTGCCAGCTGTTGTGGTGGTGCTGGCAATGGTGGTGGTTGTTGGTTCTGAAAAAGAAGAAACATTAAGAAAACATAGTTCGACATTTCATAATGCTAGAAGCAGGCATCAAAAACATTTAAATTGAGAAGTTTTGTGATTATTTTGTTCAAGAAACTTTATGGCCAAAAGAAATCTAAGCCACATTTCTTCTGAACATACATAATTCTCAAATTTCAAAGGTGTTATGACAAAGGTTTCAAGATGGAATTTTGTCTATTTGCTTTTCCTATCAAGTCCATTGCTAAGCAATACAGTTTTATGGCAAAGAAATGTAATGTTTCTAATCACTTCAAACATGGGATTTCAGCAAGCCAAGATTTGAAACCATGAACACACCAGCACATCCCAGGATCTCGACCCTCATGGAGGGCCACTCGTGCCAGGTGATGGGCTGGATACGGATGTACTCAGCGTAGATCGGGTTGTTCAGGTCAAACAGCTGACGGTTGGGTGTGTTCTCATCAGAGTTGGCTGGGAAGACCTGGAAAGGAAACGGAGGTTTAACATCATTAGCTACTATGGCTTCATCACATGAAGATGTTGGGACTTAATGACATCAAGGTACATCGAGGACCACATCGAGCACATGAAGAAGACTCACCCATCAGAATGGCACAAGTCCATCCGACGCGTGGCAAATTGGTCTGCTCCTTCTACAACGATCCACGTACCGGGTGTAGAACTACACGACAGGGCAGGTACAGCAGACGCAGTGAACAAACATTTGTCAGCCATCTGCCAGGCACTCAGCCCACTGGATCGTGGTGACTTACCGTCATACTTACCTGCAACTCCACCTCCGCGAGTAAGCACATGGGACATGTACCATCGACTTAGGCGTATCAAAGTCTCCAAAGGCCCAGGACCAGACAACATATCGCCAAAACTCATAAAGGAATTCGCCTTCGAGCTGTCGACGCCAATGACGGACATTCTGAACTCATCACTCCTAGAGGGAAAAGTACCAGCGCAATGGAAAGAAGCCATTGTCGTCCCAGTCCCCAAGGAACTACCAGCAGACCTCGACAGGGTACGCCCCGTTTCACTTACCCCACAACTTGCCAAAATATGCGAAAGCTTCATTTCAACTTGGATCATGTCTGATATCCTACCTCACGTCGATCCCAAACAATTTGGGAATATGAAGGCATGTTCCACAACTCACTGTCTCGTTGACTTGCTGAACTACTTCTACGCAGGAGCTGAGAACAAGTCTACTGTAAGTACCCTGATCCTCACGGATTTTTCCAAAGCATTCGACAGGGTCTGTCACAAAACTGCTATCACCAAGCTCATTAACCTCGGAGCAAGACCGTCCCTCATTCCGTGGGTATGTAGTTTTGTCTCTAACCGCAGACAATGTGTTCGGTATCAGGGAGTGTTATCCCAGTGGGAAAACCTGACGTGCGGTATTGCCCAGGGCACCTTGATGGGGCCACTCCTGTTTCTCACACTTATAAATGACGCCAGACCAGTGTCTGAGAACTCGTACTGGAAGTATGTAGACGACTACAACCTGGGAGAGATCAGGCGAATAACTACACCAACATCACTCCAGTCTGACCTCAACAACCTTGACACCTGGACTACTGAAAACCACATGTTATTAAACCCTAAGAAATGTAAGGCCATGCATTTCTCCTTTGTGCGAACCCCCCTGCAACCACCTGTGACCTGACTCTCGACAGGAACAGACTCTGGACACTACGTCGTAAGACAAGGTTGCTCGGGGCTCCACATACGCTCCGACCTGAAATGGGACGACCAGGTGGAAGACATGGTGTCTAAAAGTAGTAAAAGACTGGTTGTCATCAGCAGGCTACGCCGTTCAGGAGTACCGGTTACAGACCTGAACACTATCTACTGCGGCTATATAAGACCGTTACTGGAATACGCCGCCCCATGCTGGGCCGCAGCACTAACTCACAAACAGTCTGCCGCCCTGGAGCGGGTGCAGAGAAGGGCCTGCAGAATGATGATGGGTCGACAATTCACCACGTACACTGAAGCCCTCCAGCATCTCGGACTTCAGCGCTTATCTGCTCGCAGACAAAAACTGTGCACAGACTTTGCCTTGAAGGTGGAAAGGTCGTCTCGCTTCTCCGCGTGGCTGCCCCCTACCCGCGGACAGCAACATGGCAGGCATCTCCGCAACTCGACACGCTACCAACAACCAACTGGGACTAAACGTTACATAACTAGTGCAATCCCCGCAATGACAAAGTTACTGAATGAACTGTAGACGTTTGTTTTTGAATATCGTAACAGATTTTATGTATTTATGTATGACGATGGTGGAACGAACTGTAAATATTTATAATGTGCTATATTTTAAGCTGTGATTTTATCAACTCAACTGATTTTAAAACTACTGTAAAGTCTGGCCTAATTCAGTCTGTTGACTGCTATGTCAGATTGTGCTTCTTCTTTAATAAACCAATCATCATCATGTCAACCTGGTTTTCTAAATTCTGATGAAGTGGTCATTAACGTATAACACAAAAATTCCCATTATTTTTTGCAAGTAAAATTCTCATTGTTTTTTGCATGTAAAAGAAAATCATTATTGTTCCAGACAATCAAGAAAGGGACCTGTCTTAACTTTACACAATTGTGCAAAGAGCCACATAAGTGTTCAGAAGAATGACAGTTGTCACACCTGTGGTGTTCCAGCAGGGCTGTTGTAGTACTGCCAGGTCTGGCCGTTGACACTGTACATGATCTTGTAGGAGGTGACCCACTGGTCAGCAGTCACGCTGTCCCTACCCTGGGTGATCAGACCGGTGATCTGGGTAGGCTGTGGGAACAAACACAACAATGTTACTGCCATCTGTCGATAAGGCTTAGAAATGTTACAAAAAAGGTAGACAATATACTTTTGAAGGGTTGATGACCCACCCTGAGTGGACTAGGTCGTTTATGAGCGAGGTGGTTATAGGAAAATGGGTCATTAATGTTATTATCATATAGTATGTAACTATTTTAAGTTTTGTAAGTCAAACATATCATGTGCCTGTCCTTTTGATTGTTTTACATTGTTTTATAAATTAGGTTCACCTGCAGCCATTGGAATGCATGTTCCATTTAGGTCATTGAAACAGAACGTGTGTTCCATTTTGGGGAACCCGTGGTACGAGCAATCGTTTTCAGCACCGTTTTCTTCAATAAACCATTCAATCCTTCATAATTTCATGGCAGTAGGATGTATACTGACCTGGCCCAAGTTGATCTCGATCCACTGACTCTGGTCGTTGACGGCAGGCACCCAGCCACCGGCACTGGTCGGGGACTCGGGGGTGTTGAGACGGCCGCTGTCGGCGCCGGATGTCGGGAGCAGCTGGCTGGACACGCTGATCATGTTGGTAGAGATCAGGCCTGCGGAAATAAGAAAACACGAAAACAGTTGTCAGCATATTCATACTGGAAAGTGTCATCAGAGACTTGTGGAGCCTTTATAATCACATGTACAATGTATTATATGCTTTTGTAAATTATCAATGTTACCTGTTACCTCATTATCCATTTAACTGTTACCTATTAGTAAGTGGTCATTGGTATAGCATGAAAGCCTTCACTTGATGTATCAGGCCTGCAGTCAAACCTGTGCAAGTGACCATCTCTACATAAAAGACCACCTGGCCAATGTGACCACTTTTAGGAGTCCCATGTCCCATTGACACAAGTATTAAGAATCCTGTCTTAGAGACCATCTATCCACCAGATTTTATCGTCCTCTGTGCGGTCTTGTGCGAAGTTTTTACTATAAACTTAAACAATAAAGATGTATATGAGAGTGAGCAAGAATTAACTGAGCATCCTACCATTCTCCAGACCCATTGGCTCCTGGCAAGGTCCAGTAGTGGTGAAGGCAGTGGACAGGGTGG